TAAATTATCAAATTATCAAAACTCATTATTAAATTATCAAATTATCAAAACTCATTATTAAATTATCAAATTATCAAAACTCATTATTAAATTATCAAATTATCAAAACTCATTATTAAATTATCAAATTATCAAAATATATCAATTTCCGCATTTGAAAGAATGTGTTGTATTATCAAAAAGTGTTATCTTTTCGTTTAGAACTATTATCACATATTTTAATGTTGAAAATTTATCAACTCACAACAATAATCCTAGCACTGATAATAATATGTTTAATTGTATTTGTACATATTTCGCTAATTTGATTGCATATCAAAATTATCATATAATTATCATTGCTCAATGTGATAACTTCAAGATTAAGAAGAATCATTTCCAGATCGATAAAATCATTTCCAATAATAATCACTGCAATAGTTTCTTTTTTTTTTGAATAAAATTATACTTCAACTTTCATTATTTCCTCTTTTAACAGAAATAACTTGCATAAATTGTTTATTTGGTAAAATGATAAAATCATCATTTATCAGTGAAGTTAACTTAGCTAACTTTACTGCTAAATAGATGAAATGATAAGATTTAAATGGCATAGTGATAAGTTTTTTATCATCTGTAAAAAAAAAAGAAATGCGACATTCAGATTAAATGTACATCGGACAATGACAAAGACAATAATTAAGAAAAAAAAAGCAAGATGAAAAACGTGGAAAACATTGTTATTATTACTGATAGATTTCACCTGAGAATTACGGTAACAAACTAAAAAAGTGTATAGCTATTTTCCATGTTGATAATAAAAATGCTTACTACTTGAGGTTGTCCTAAGATTTTCTACCGTAATTTTCTTCATTTTTACCATATATTCATCAATTTCAATGAATTTTTCAATACGAAATGGTTGTTGTTGTTCTGCAATTTGTTCAATTCCACCAATAATTGAATAATGATCAAAGCCACCATTACTGGAACTTACCAGAACAACCTGTAAGATTTTCATTCATTTGTTGTATTTAATTTACAATATAGAATTGCTTAAAATTAAATTTAATAGGTGAAATCAAAGTAAATTAAATTAAATTAAATTAAATTAAATTTAAATAGAATATAATAAAATAAACTAAATGCACGAATATGTTGGTTAGAATTGTTAACGATGAAACTAAACTAAAACGAAAAGATAGCAC